TGTAGATACGTAAATAAACAAACGCATACATATATATATACATATACATATATATTTATATATTTATAGTAATATATATATTTATATATATCACATACGTATATATATACAGATATGCATAACTATGAATATATGTATCTAAACATAAATATATATATGGATTCATATGTATATATATACGAATATATATGTATATATACACCATTATATATATATATATATATATTATATATATATATATTATATATATGCGTATATGTATATGTATATATACACCAAAATATATATCTATATATACATACGAATATAAATAAATTATATATATATATTATATATATATATATATATAATGCGCGCATGCACGCATGCATGCATGCATGCATGCATTTAGAAGAGAGGCATGAAAACGGGCACCATTTTTCTTTCTTCTAGGTATTTTGCTTCGGTGCGCATGCGTCGCTTAGCATTTTCATACTCAGATTTTGCTGCGTCTCTTCTTTGTCTAAGATGATCAACAACATGGCGAGGCGCCTTATCAAAGAGAGCTTGATAGAAATCAATTAAATCTACGAAGTTTCTCTCTGTTGCTGTTGCTGCTTCAGAAAGATAAACAAGAAAAGCTGCTGCTCTATCTCCACCTGATTGAGGGCCTCTGTTGATTAGCTGGGGCCCTAGCTGTTGCCTCGCTAGGTCTGCAACTTCTTTAATAGGAGCAATACAAGTAATAATCTTTGTCTTTAAGTACGGAAGCTCATCTGGTCGAGGCTTTGTCTTACCCTTATCTATAGATCTTAAACGGCGAAGCTCGGTTAAACAATAAATACCATGAGTCCCTGCTTGCAGTAAAGCTGCTTGAAAGGCGCTAAGAAGCTCATCATTAGGCCTCTTTAAAGTATTTCCTAGACGACCAGTTATCCATCTATAACGCCAGGGTATACTGGGGCTTCTTAATGCTGCACAAAAATGTTTATGAGCATCAGTAAAAGACAGCAGACGCAGGCTTCCTCTATGCCTACCGAGAGGGCCCCCTTCAGTAGCCGCAGCAGCACCAGCAGCAACACCACCAGCAGCACCAGAAGCAGCAATTCCTCCTCCTCCTCCTGCTGCTGCTCCTTTAGCTGCAGTAGGAAGACTAGAAGTAGGATAAGCAGGTGGAGGAGGCCCTCTAGCTGCATCAGAAGAGACAGAAGCAGCAGGTAGTCTAGCAGCGGTAGAGTCTGCTGCCCCCGTATCTTTTGCGGTTTCTGCAGCTTGAGAAGGCAATTGGGCGCCCCCAGATATTGAAGAAGTAGGAATATCAGATTCAGGAAGTTGAGAAGGAGCTCCTGGGATGCTGTCAGCATGGTTCTCATACATATCTAAATCGTGAGGGAGTGTGTCTTCAATATCATCTTCGAACAGTGCTGCTGCTGCTGCTGCTGCTTCCACGTCTGATATGTCTAACACCAGCAAACTAGATATATCTGGGTTGCTATTAGCAAGAGCAGCGCGAGGTGATCCTGGGGGCCCCCCAGAACGAGAGGGGGGGGCCCCCCATGCATACAGGGGAAGAAAACAAACAAGGCAAAAGACTATCAGCATCATGCCCGCCATTGTATCTGCTGCTGCTGCCGCTGCCGCTGCTGCTGCTGCTGCTGCTGCAGCTGCTGCTGCTGCTGCAGCTGCTGCCAAAGGGTTCCTCCTCCTCTGGTGTTGCAGTGCTGCCGTGCTGCTGCTGCAGCAGCCAGGGGAGTTCCTCTTCTAGCAGCGCCAACCCTCAAGAATTATCAGTTGAATTATAATAATAACTTCAAAATGATTTCAACTTTTACAATAAATGCAAACAAACGAAAAAGAAGACGGAAGCATGAACAGCAAAAGAATGTATGCAAGCCATGGGGGCCCCTGCTGCTGCTGCTGGAGACTCCCTGTATTAAAACTCCCTTAATAAGAAGAAAAATAGAATTAAAAGTTTAAAATGAATATTTTAAATACTTTCATTGAGATTTTCCTCGGCCTGTTGGAGTGCCTACTACACGCTGCATGCAGCTATTTTCGGGGCTTGCTCGACCTGTTGCAGCGTTTGTTTGTTTTCTTACTCTTCCTCAAAATAAATGTATAATTATTTCCTATTTTTTATGTTGTTTTTTATTTCTTATGTTAATTTATTCTATTATATCAGTGGAGAATCTCTCCCTTTACACAATGCCGAAAGATCTTCAATGCTGCTGCGCTCTGCTCTCAGCAACCTGTATATACAATACTCGCTTTGTCTTCTCTGTAAATTAATTAAACCTAATTATTAATATATTTTTTTGGTGGTGTTGAGAGATAGAAACTAAAAATTTTCGCAGAAATCAATAAGTGCAACTGCATGCGCCGAGAGGGGTCTCGACTGCCTGTGGCTGTGGGAACAGCCCACAAGAGAAACTGCTGCTGCTGCTGCTGCTGCTGCTGCTTCTGCTGCTGCACGAAACTGCTGCAGCAGTAAACAGCAAATACAGCTACAGCCGCTGCAGCTCCTGCTGCACATAGAAGTAATTTTGTAGCAAAACGAAGCCATTTGCTGATCTAAGCACCAACACCCTCTATTACGAGGATAATATACGAGATAACAATAAAGATGAAGATAAAAAGATAGATAAGAACAAAATAAGTAATAATAACAGATAGTAGTAATTAATAATAACAGTAATTATATGATAAAGAAACAGGCGAAGATACACGGTAAATACGACATAGACAACACAATGAGATCCCATACAGATGCATGCAAACCTTAAGCGCTTCCCTTTCCTTCTTCAGCAAGCATACAGAGATGCATGCATGCATGCATGCATGGGTTTCTTGCTATAGAAATACAGTTTATAAGGATTATTGGAGTCCCTGTTGGAAGATAACGTCAAAAGGCTGTATTGCCTCCACCTTGGCTTCAACTGTAGGAAGTAGTCGCAAAGAGATAAACAAAAAAAGAAAAGATTTGAGATGCCGCATGCAAACCTACTACACTGCTTACTGTGTACATCTGCATATACATATAGGTTTACATATATATATATATATATATATATATGTATATATATATATATATATTATAATACACATATGTATGTACATATATATCTATAATGTACACAGTACAAATATTAAATATATATTCACATTATATATATAGATGAATATATATAATATTTGCGTGTTTGTTGCTGTTTGTATATTTGCTACTGTTTGTGTGTTGCTGCCGTTTGTTTGTTTGCTGTTGTTTGTCTGCACAAATGTTCTTATAAAATGTTATATCTGCATGCAGCTTGTCTCCTTGATGTTTCTGGTGGGGCTTGCAAATGCCTCCGACTCGGCAAACGCTTTTCTTCAATTAGCTTAGGGTTTAGGGTTTAGGGTTTAGAAATGTAATACAAGAGCGCTTGTCTATTCTTTTAATGCGTTTTACTGCTGGGTTTTTATTGTTTTCTTTGCTGGTGCTGTTTAGCACCAGGAGGCGCAGCAGCAGAAGTATTTCTTCTTTATTTACAGCGCATTTATTTATTGAAATAATCGAACAAATAACTTATCATTATTATCAGGATATTAGCCGAAAAAACTAATGGCAAGCGGCTGTCCCTGCTTCAAACCTTGAGACAAATATATATATATATATATATATTATATATCTTTATAAATATGTACATATGTACGTACATATATGTATATATATATATATACATTATATAGAATATACATTTTTACACAGGGATAAAAGAAATATAGTACTTAAAGAAGAAGAACAGACGCGAGGAAGAGACAAAAAATACATCGCAGCTGTTTGCATGCAGTTGTGTATGGAGGTCCTCCAGCAGGTAGTCAGGGGAGTACCAGCAAATGAACAGCAGCAAATATGCATTAATTCAAGATAATATTAATTGCCGGAGCAGCATTTCTTAAGTTCTGCTGCTGCTGCTGCTGCTGAGCTCATCATCTTGTGCTGCGCTGTGGCTGCTAAAATTATTAAATTAATTTCTACTTCGTGATGCAGCATTCGCATCTGCAGCAGCAAAACAAACATCACTAATATAGTCTGCAGCGCTTTATTGCTGCTTCTATTTCATCTCCTCTCCCCAACCTCCAACTGCTGCTGTTGCTGCTACTGTTGCTGCTGCTGTTGCTGCTGCTGCAACCGCCCACACCTTCTACGACAAGAGCCTAAGGAATATATCTGTGCCGTTCCTCGCTAATGGCAGTTATCTGTGCGTGTCTGTGCCCTACATAATTATGCATATATATATATATATTATATATCTTTATAATAGTGCTCTATGCATGCAGACGAACAACGATAGGAGGAAAGAAGAAGGATGCCGAAGTAATGGCACACATAATTATTTGACTAGCACAGATGTAGACAGTCTTCTTCTTCCTCGCCAAGGCAAGCAAAACAAAGCAACAGAGACAGAGACGCAAGAGTCTCAGGGAGGCAATGAACAACTCGCGCCTCCTGAGCTCCTAAGGGCTGACGATGATATTGCAAATATTATAAAGGTTTAACATAGCCCACCCCGATCTGTCTGTCTGCATGCACACATGCATGCATGCATGCATGCATGTTTGTACATATGCATGCATGCATGTCTGTATGCATGCATGAATGCATGCATGCATGCAGCATGCATGCAGCTACCACGCGTCCCGCGCAGGCCCGGTGCGTTCAGCAGCAAACCCAATGCCTGCTGAGAAGCCAGTAGGTCTGCCTGTGGCCTCTGATCGCCAATCTGAAGCCCCTGTCATGCGGCCTCCTCCGCCAATGGAGTAAGAACCTGAAGGAGCAGAGGTGCGGCTGAATGAGCCGCCTGCGCCTCCACCGAATCTGCTGCTGCTGCTGCTGCTAGCCATGCGACCGAAGCCTCCCCGGCCGCCAAGCCGCAACGAGGAAGAGGTGCAGGATACGACGAGGGGGTGTAGAAACCCTGGTATTTCCTGATTTGCCTCTTCTAAAAGATGCAGCAAATCTCTGAGAATAGGTCTGTTCTGTTCATTGACAAAGGATGTAGCTAAGCCGAGGTTTCCCGCACGGCCTGTACGACCTATGCGGTGTACGTAGTCGTCGATGTTTGAAGGTAAGTCGTAGTTAATGACATGTTTAACATTTGAGATATCAAGGCCGCGGGCCGCTACATCGGTGGCTACTAAGATCGGCCTATGTCCTGACTTGAAATGTCTTAGTGCATCTTCGCGTTCTTCTTGTGTTCTATCTCCATGAATAGAAATAGCTGGGAAGGTTTCGTTTAAAAGGTAATCTTCAATCATGTCTGCTTTCTTCTTCGTCTCAACAAAAACTATTACTAAACCCTTTTCCGATTCCCGCAATAGATTTACCAACAACTTTATCTTCTGATCTTCATCCGCGTACAATAGTCGCTGTCGAATAAATTCATTTGTGCTGCCCACGCGGCCAACAGCTAAATAAATATAATCATGCATGAAATCCTTCGCTAGCATTTGAATCTCCTTCGGAAATGTTGCAGAAAACATGATCGTCTGCCTCCCCCTTCCAGCTCCTTCTTCCGAAACACTGCCTGGTGAAGGGCAAGGCGGTAAGTCGAAATCGTCAACTATTGACTTTATTTGAGGCAAAAAACCCATATCCAGCATTCTATCCGCTTCATCCAGTACCAAGTAACGCACCAATGCAAGACGAATCTGAATACCCGCATAATACACAAACAAACAAACATACATGCAAACACACGCACGAAATCGACACCTCCGCATACACCCCAACGTAGCAAATACCAATAATATCCAAAATATATGCACTAAATAAAACAGTTAGTGATATCAAAACATACGAAACTCAAACTGAGAAATCATACCAACGAAACAGTCATATCATGCCGCGTTATAGAGAGACAACGGTCAAAAAATACACAGAAAGATATAAATAAATTATGTATATATATATATATATATATATATATTCAACTCTCAACCAAAGGAGCCGGAACAGTACGATGATATCAAGCAAATATGAATACTATGTAAGAAGCCGCCTCAAGAACAACGATGAAGACGAAAGAATAAAAAGCATTCTCTATTCCCCTTTCTTCCCTCCCTATAATACCCGTACAACAGCCATGAAGACACGAAGAAGAGAGAAACTTCTTCTATTCACCCCTCCCCCTCCCTCCCTTTAATAGTGGACGGAAGCCTGCCTACCTTGCGCCTCTCAAGAACATCAGCAAGACGCCCTGGTGTTGCTACGCAAATATCACAGCCTGCGTCTAAATCCATGAGTTGCCGCTTAATCTGAGACCCTCCATAGACAGGAACGGTTCGAATACCCGTACCAAACTGGAACTTGCGTGCCTCTTGATAGATTTGCATTGCAAGTTCTCGGGTGGGAGAGAGAACAAGACAAACAGGGAAGACGCTTCTCCTGTATGCACTAGTTGAACCCCTTTCGCTAGCTGGGAGAGCTGGGGGACCCGTCTGTAGCATTTGAGCTATTATAGGATATAAGAATGCTGCTGTCTTGCCTGAGCCTGTTTGTGCACAAGCCATAAGATCTCTTCCCGCTAGAATAGTAGGAATAGAGTTCTTCTGAATAGGAGTTGGGCGGCTATAATTAACCCTCGCAACGTTCTCCATTAAAAGAGGTGAGAACTTGCATCCAACCTCTTCAAAAGACTCTACCGGTAATATCTTCTCAGACCCTCTCCCCTTTAACTCCACAGGCACTTTATCATAAGCATCAAACTTAATACCAGTACTCTGTTGTTTTTCGGGGCTAAACACATCGTCGGCTCTCTCAGGTCTATAAGATCGCCCATCCCTTACATCCCACCCTGTTCCTGTCTGACTGGCTCGAGGGGGCCTCCCCGCTCCTCCGCCCCAGTTGCTGCTGCTGCTGCTGCCTGAACCCGCACCACCGCCTCCACGAGAACTGCTGCTGCTGTGCCCTTCAGGAGGGGCCCCTCCACCTCCCCCTCTTGCGTCTGCATGCGGCCCTCTATTGAAGTCGTTCACAGGAGAAGGCCGCTCAGCTAAACAACTAAAGCGACTGCGGCCTTCAGGAGAAGCCCCCTGCAGGTTTCGCCGTCCATTCACAGCACCTAGAGCCCCTGAACCCATACGAGGGGCCCCTGTGCAGGCGCCCCCTCCAGTGCTTCCTCCTGCAGAAGGATAGGAAGGATAACCGCCACCCACAGAGCCAACGGGGGAGCTTGCGGATGCTGCTGCTGAAGCTCCTGGTCCCTGCTGCTGCTGTTGCTGCTGCTGCTGCTGCTGCTGCTGGCGACGGAGATGTGGGGGGATGTACTTCGCGGGGGCTGCTTCCGCTGGACCCCCTGCTGCAGATGAAGTGTTCATGATTGTTGTTAGTATTTACACAACACGCCGGGGCGTACAAAGCGAAGCGAAGACGAAAGCGGCGAAGGGGGCAGCAGGAGACGAAGAAAGACGAGAAGAGAAGAGCACAACTTAGCAGCAGCAGCAGCAGCAGCAACAACAACAACGCGGGCCTCAACAAGCAGCAAGAGCAAGCATGCACCAGCAGTAGACCATGACGTTGCAAAGGAGGCGCCAAGCAGCACAGCAGAGCAGACAACACGCACCTGAAGGTAATAGAAGAAATAAATAGTAAAGAATAAGAAAGGAGAAGAACTCTCAAGCCTTTCTTCTCGTCGCAGTACTCCTCTGCAGCAGTGGGGAGGGGGCCCGACACAAAGAAGAAAGCTCTCTTCAAAGCAAGCAGCACGTACAAGGTAAATATAATTGCTTTTCAACAAGACAGACGCAATTACTTCTAGCCATACACCGCCACCAACAGCAAGCGACACACGCAAACCAGATTCCAAACACAACGTGCCCTACATCATCATGTAAACAACAGCAACAGCAGCAGCAGCAGCAGCAGCAGCAGCCGCTGCTGCAGTTACTACTACTTACTACCGCCGCTGCTGCTGCTGCTGCTGCCGTGCTGCTGCCAGTAGGGGGGCTTATTGGCTTTTCTTTTGTTCAATTCTTCTTAATTATCCCTAATCTTTATTGAGACATATTATTGACATTCTTTTGTTGCTGCCTATGCTGCGTACAAACCTTTGAGCAGCCCACCCTAGCTTGCCTGCGCAGCAGCAGCTTTTTCGTACGTGGCTGCGGTGCTCTTAGAATTAATTTACTTCGTTTTTTATTCAAATTTATCTATTTTTTCTATTATTTCAATTTATAGACACCTAAGCTGCCCATCTTTTCGTTATTTACCAGAAAATAGACTTGCGCCGCTCCCCCCCCCCGCAGCGCTCCTCTGCTTCCTGCAGAGCAGCGGCTTCATAGAGAGTTTAATAAGCCTTTAAACGGGGTTGTTAAGAGCTTTAACAGAGTCTAAAGCTTTAAAATAAGAACTCGCGAAGGCAGTGAATATTTCATTATTCCTTCCACTCCTACTATGCACAGACACCCTGCAGAATAAGCTATTGTGCTCTCTGTAAAGTACATACATTCATGTCTGCAAGCCTGCAGAGTAGCTACTAAAGAAAAATAATGCTTTTAAGACGTGGGTGCAGCTTTTGTGCATGTAGTACAGAGGGCTTCGGTTCACCTGCACGTGGGGGTGCTCTGCAGCACCAGCTGCAGCTGTATCTATTTGCACGGGACGGAGCTTCGTTCGGGGCCTACCTCTTAGCTATGGACCGTCAAAAGCTGCAGTAAAGTCAGGCACATAGGATATTCGCTAATCAAAAACTGCTTGTAACATCTCCAGTCCCCACGCATCCCAAGCATGATGAGCCCAGCGCCTGCAGCTGTTGCGGAGAGGAGGCCTATCGTAGCCGGCAGTTGACTCTGCCCCATCTAATATGCCAGGAGAACCCCGCATGTAAGCACGGCCAAGCCCCGTTTGCTACATGCATTAACACTGTATACACCTGTTAAACACTTAGTCGGCGCTCAATCTCCAACCTGTGCGCAAGGGGAAATGCATGCCTCTACTTCGTATCTACTTTGATTGGAACATGCTGCAGTACTGGAGCTCATGGCAGACAGCCTCCTCTTTCCACTTTCCCTTCACTGACTGTGCCCAAGGCACATGGAGAGTGGGAAGACAGGCCAGTTGCTATGGGAAAAGATATTATTCTAAGGCTGGTTTCACTGCAGCAAACAATGGTTTTCGGCTATGATCGAGCACTCTCGCTACACTGGTAGAGCTGCATACTTCATTGGGGCAGGTGCGAGCATCTAAAACCATTTCCAGATGTAGGCGACCTGCTGCAAAAAAGAAACTGAATTCGCGAAGGCGCTTTGCGGAAAAGGGGAAGGAAAAGTCTTTGAATATTTTCAATATCTTTGCCGAAAGACTTAAAAAAATAGTCTATATTTTCAACATGTACAGTATTGGAAGTAAACTGAAATGTTGACTAGTTGCTTGTCAGTTGGCTATTAATTCGCTTTACTTGCTAATCTCTTTATATGGATTCTCGTGCAGTCTTCGCCGATGGCAGACAACACATGAGGAACGGTAGAGCTATAAGAGCAAAGTGAGAGGTCGATCCAGAGGCATTCCGCATTACTATGATGCGGGACTTCTTAAGTGAAGAGTTCGCCATGAGATAATCCTAGTTACGCCTTGGGTGGTTGAGTGGAGGGAAGACACGCAGGCACCGTATGAAGCTAACTATCTCGATATGTCAGGAAACAATGAGAAAGCCGCCTCTCAGCGTTCCCAACAGCACTTGTATTCTCTACGGTAAAAGTAGTGGAATCAGTGTCAGTGTCTCAAGGAAAAAGGAGCAAGGATGTTCCTACGCAATGCAGAGGAGCTACCTGATGCGCCGCAGAAAAGGAGCTTGCAGCGCCTGTTGCATGCTTTGTAGATGCTAAGAGCCAAGCAGTGGGTCTTTGAAGCGCGAAAGTGTATGAGGTTTCATGTGAAGACTGAGGTTCCTAGTGCATTGTATTTCTGCAGGATCAGTCAAGCCAGATACAGCAGTCATACAAGCCATTTCGGGGCAAGTCTCCGTACAGTCGCACGGAAGTTAAGAAGAACCCCTGGAACCGCGCATCACACTGCCATCATTGCCAGCTATCTACCGGATCTGCTCAAGGAGGAAGAGCAACTTATTTACATGGAGATCGAAGAAGGTGCCAGAAACTTCTGCAGTCACCTGACATCGCCTCCAGTTATCGCACTCCCTGATTTCGAGAAATGCTTCGAAGAAACAAACCGGTACCAGTAGCACAGCACTTGGGGTTATTGTTTCTCAGCAGGCTGAAGGCTAGCGAAAATACCAGAAAATTGCCTCCTACTCGCGGTGTCTGAGGAGAAGAGAGCAGAATACCTGACACGTGAAAAGGAGTTCTACGCGGTCTAATGGGGAATAAAGATGCTCCAGCATTAATCATATGGCAGTGATTTCGTTGTTCAAAAAGATCAACAACCTCTGAGGCATCCGGCGAAGTGCTTTAAAGACTACAAGAAGGAATGAGAGAGCTATTCGGTGGCTTTGCAGTCTCACACAAAACTACTTCACAGGGACACCTTTTAGTGTCGCAGCTCCACTTATATGCGATGATTCCTTTTCCCTCACAAAACTGCGTTATTCTTACTCCTTATATACGCATGCAGCTGTGCGTGGGTAGCTGCCGTTCGTTGCTCAGCTTGGCAAGACGCCAACCTGAACAACGAACGACAGGTTAAGGCCTGCAGTGTTGATGCCAATCTCCTGTCGCAGCACAGAGCCCCCTCCCCCAATTATACGTTCCAGCTTCGATCCGTACAGAATATTTGCATGAAATGTACTATCATGCATCAACGGTCAAAGGATCAGGAGCCAGGCTAACCGTGGAAATTGTAGCTACTTCCTTGTGCTGCCCATGGTGTGCCTCTCTCTCCCTAGGAAGGTGCCTTCGCTTTTCTGAAACGTTAGCACCAAAGGTCGCAGAATACTGTCGAACCCTGCAGTTTGCAAAGTATCCCGACCCCCGAGCGGATCTGGGTTAGTGCGCCTGCTGCTTGAGTAAAGAATGAGTGGCAGTTGAAGAATGCTCTGAGGTGGGTTCACTAATATGTACTCACGTCTAATGTGGATACTGGAAGTCAAGGAAATGTCTGGCATTTCTTTACAGTGGTAATACAGCTTCAAATTATGCCATGATTACTGTTGCATTTAGGGTTGCCTTCCAGGAGGAACTGCAGCAAGGCGCAGTGCAAATAATGCTGAGCGTGCTCGTCTGCGCAGCAGCCTGAGGCTCTTGGAGCGCTGTGCACGAGTCACCTTCAGACTTAAGGAGAGCTCAGCAGCGTTCTGGGGATTTTCATATAGAATCTCTTGAATATACTACAGCATACGAATCTCATCTGCTAAGATAGAGGACCCTCATGACAACACTCATAAGCTGCAATTAAAAAGTGTAGTTGAGCCCGTGCCGCAGTTGCACTGTCAATCGACATCCTCGATGAGACACAAGGAGATACTGCGGCTCTCGGCAATACAGTACACCCCAATCTAGCGATAAACCTCGACCTTATGTGAGGGCGGTCGTGAGCTTCAGTAATCTGTAACTGTTTAATATACGTGCTTCTAAGAAACAGCTGACCTCCTCTCTGTTCTCCTGGCAACCTATGTGCAGCTGTCCCGGAGCCGATGGTGCGGCGAGTAGGCGGCCTCTCATTCGTTGCAGCACTCCCTGGCATAACTATTGTGTTGTAAGGCAACACATGCAGGCCCCTCCAAGCCCCCTATGGGTGCATGCAGTAACACCGTAGATAATTGCTACACAATTGCTATACAAGTAGAAAAAATTACATAGGAGGCGTGCGTGGAACGATAAATATATTCGTCAATGATATCCTGTGGAGTATGCTATATATTTATAATATTTATTCATTATATTGAAGTACTTCTCTCCCCAAACATGACACACAAAACACGCTATAGTGTGCGTGCTGGGCCGGCGTACAGTGACTGTGTTGTTCATGAAAAAAAAATGAATAGTGTTTTCTTATTTCAAGTGCATGCATCGGGAAAAGATATTTTGCTTTTGTTTTCACCTTATAGAGCAGATTCAACTTTGGAGTGTATGGCCATTGCAAGTTTGCGGTCCGCTACCGAAGCGGCTGCTGCGCATGCAAGAGTTTCTGCGGTTGCGATCTTCTCGTAGAGGGCCTTAAGAGTTTTATTTTTTTGGTTTCTGCTATTTTATTATTGAAATATCTTCGTGTTTTCAGCAGAGAACTACGAGAAGGCAGGGGGCCCCTGCGCTTTCTGTTCTGAGTGTTGGCGCTGTGTGCAAGGAAACACCGGCGACATTCGTTTTGGGTTTCTGCTGCTGTTTCTGTTGAAGCCGTATTATCTTGCGAGTTTATTTAAGTGGGATATTTTGGAATATTTCACGGGAGAGGGCCTGCACACATGCAGCAGGGAGGTTCCTCTTGACGAGCCTGCAGCAGCAAAGTATTGTTGTACTGCGTGCTGCGGCTTACATTCTTTTCTTTTGCATGTTTTCTGCATAAAAGGCGCGACATCCCTCCGTGCTTGTTTCCGTGATGGCGGCAGGAGCAGGGGAAGGAGGCAGCAGCGGCAGGGTGGGAGGAAACGGCCGCTCGACTAAACCTCCCTTTTGGCTGGTAGCTAGTTCTCTTCGGGAGAGTCAAACAACGGAGTCTATACACTCGGGAGTTCGCAATGCATTGCTTCTTCCTCGTGCCCCTTTATGCGATGATGTGGGTTTGTTTGATGTGCCGATGAGTCTGAAGTTCGGTTCTTTCGATGATCTCATTCGTGCTGTCGATACACTGCAGAAACAAGACGGCGTAGTGGAGGCAGTACTACGGCGAGTTGAACGACAAGCACTTGAAATTGATCCTGAAGCACAATTCAAGATCATGTGGCAGAGGCATTCATTGACAGCAGAACAATACATACGCCGTTTTACGTGGGATGAGTCAAAGTTCCCGAAGGCGCGAGCAATTCGTGAAAACATTGAGGCAATTGTTCAATCTGTAAACAAAATGGATGAAGAAGTTCGAGCAAAAGTAGCTGTGTGGCAAGAAGTACGGCAGCAAGCGAATGCAGCAGCAAGCAAACGAGATGTGCTGTCTTACTCTCAGCGGGATCTGCTTGATCTGTTAACTCCAGCAGTTGTTGAAGAAGAAGACTTTGTACAAACAGAACACTTAACAACAGCAGTTGTTTGTGTTGCAGGAGAAGCAGAAGCTAACTGGCTTAGCACTTACGAGAAATTAAACCCTTTTGTTGTGCCGCGCTCTGCAAAGAAGTTCGGCATTCCCCCAGATAAAGAAGGAGTTTGCTTATGGCGTGTTGTGTTATTTAAGAAGGGTCTTAATGACTTTAAGAAGGCAGCAGCTGAACATAAGTTTACTGTGAGAGACTTCAATTATAGCGAAGGAGTATATAAAGAAATGACGGAACAGAGAGCGAAGGTCTTGGCTGAACAAACAAAGCACGAAACTTTTCTAAGTCGTGTTTGTTTTGCAGCTTTTTCAGATATCTTTGTAGCATGGGTACATCTAAAAGCAATGCGTGTTTTCTGTGAATCTGTTTTAAGGTTTGGGGTCCCTCCTAATTTTGTTTCTTTCTTCTTACGCCCCATATCAGAAAACAAAGAAAAGAAAATTCATAAAGAGCTTGATGCTCTTGTTACGCCGCCAGGCCTCTTCGGCAATAGGTTTTATGCGAGAGATAGCGCAGACGGAGCTGAAGGCGAGAACTTCTTTCCTTATGTTCTGCTGACGTTGCAGCCTTTTGCTTCATAAAAGAAACCATCTATCAGATTATCAATGACTTGCAATAATACTCTGCACCACTCTGCTGCACCAGAATAATGCTCGTGCTGCTGCTGCAGCAGCAGAACCAGCATTCTGCTGCTGCAGCAGCTTCAACACACAAGCAGCAGCATCTCTTAAAGGACATCAACACATTACATTACAGGCTCTCAGTTCGAAGCCAACGGTAATGCGTTTCTGCTTTTTTACCCCTCAGAAACGCATCTTTGCCCTTTATGTATGTATGTATGCATGCATGCATGCACGCATGCAGTAATACATGCACGCGATAATTCATGTACTGCATGCAGTACATGCATTATCGTTTTCCTGGTTGAGTTTCATCTATGCGTGCATGCAATGCATGCATCGTTTGCATCTGCAGCATGCATGGCTATCTGCATGCGTGCATGTTTTTTATGCATTTTTGCGTGCATGCATGCATGCATGTGTGCATGCAGTCCGTGCATGCATGCATGCATGCATTTTGTGCACGCATTGCATGCATGCATGCATGGTTTAGAGGAAGAAAAAGAAAAAGCGTAATGGAGGTTACAGATCGTAGCAGTTGTTGCTGCTAAGCGTCAGAGTTTCCGCTTGTTGCAAGGAGATTGCTCTTCTCTAACAATAAATAGGCTTTATGTGGAGTACTTTTATTTATTTGCTGCGAACAACGCATTCTTTTTCGCCTGTATACTCAATACAAATCCGCATCTTTCTGCTGAACCAACTGCATGCATGCATGCATGCGTGTATGCGTGCATGCACTAGGAAGACTCGCTTGCGTTTATAAGAAAACATTTTATAGCTACACCACAAGCGTAAGCGGGTATTCATTATTCTTACTTCTTCCTTTGCACAGGGATAGTAGGTAGAACAGACGAAAGAAAAGAGACAGACAAACATAAGAAGAAGCAAAAAGACAACACAACATATTTCCTGATTATAGGAATCCTCTCCACACCAATTGCACTTCGACAAAGAAAAATCAGAACGGAAATATAACAGTAGGGGGCTGCCCCTATATATATATATATATATATATATATATATATATAACGGAGGCTGCTGTTGCTCTTCATCTGTTTCTTTCTGGCGTTGCTTCTTTCTTTGTGTTTCTTTGTGTTGTTGTTTTTTCCTGTTGTTGTTTCTGTTGTTGAATATTATTTCCTAAGCATCACCCGCGAAGAAGCTTTCTAAGTATATAGCAGTATATACAATATATATATATATATGTATATATATATAGTGTTTATGCTTACCTACATTAGTATAAAGAGGCCTCCTTAATCCTTCTTTTCATTCGTAGTTGTGTTTTATAGGGAGAAATTTGTGCGTGGCAGCAAAACACCGCACCGCTTCGTTTTTCTTTGTTTGAAACTTTTTTATTTTTGTCTTTTTATTTGGTTTTAATTGCCTTTAATTGATTTTAATTGTCTTTGACTGATTTTAATTGTCTTTAATTGGTCTTAATTTTCTTCAATTGTTTTGAATTGCCTTTTATTGTGAATTGTTGTCTATGTGGAAACATCTTCGTCAGTTGCCGCTTCCATACATCGGTTGCTTTTCATTAATTCGCTGTTTCTCGTGCATCTTTGATTTGTACATTTTAATATAACACATGCATATATGCATATGTATATTTGTATCTATAGCAACGGCAAGAACAGCGAATGCGTCGACACTGGCAAAAGGGCTACTAGCTTTTATCTAAAGACCTAATGCAGTCATACGACAAAGCATATAATATATATATATTATATTAGATATATTAATTATATATGTAACACATATAATATACGTACTATTGCTTACATTTTACAAACATTTACGTGTGTGTGCATTTGTATGTTTGACTACACTGCGCTGCCTGCTGTTTGTTTGCTGCTGAAAACCCACAACAACCATATGAGCTGTTCTTCGTTGTCGTTGCAGCAGAATTTATTGTCTTTGTTTGCGTCGATGATGCCACTGCTGTTCTTCTTTCGTTCGTTTGCACAGAAAGAGAGACTGCACCAATATATATAATATATATGCATAATTATATCTATATATTTTTGGAAGGGAAGCTTATTCATTATGCTTGCATGTGGGGTTGTTGCCCTGAAGCAGGCACCAGTTCGTACAGCATTATAAAGTGCTGCAGCTGCTGTTTGTAAGGCGTGTCTTCTCTTCCGTTTGTAGCCCAGGGCTGTCTCTGTTCGGCTGCTGCTGTTGTTGTCCCCAAAATGTTCTCAAACAGAGGGGAAGGAGGAAGCGAGGGGTGCTCGTGCATGCGAAGTTACTTCATGAAAGATGCTGTGCCTCGTAATAAGCAATTCCAAACGATGGTCTTAGACTTAAGACGAAAAATAAGGCGAAAAATGCAAAAGGAGGCGTTAGACAAGACCGTAGGGGAGTTTGCTAATCAGATAGATCTGGTGTTGAGGTTATGGAAAGTTTATTAAATGCACAAAAACATTTCAAAACACTTTTTATTTCTGAAACAATACGCGAAGAAAACACAAAAAAACAACTCTATTTTGTGCCTCTGATGATATAACAGCCAAATTATTGAATTTGTTCGTTTTCATGGTTTCGTCACTTCCAACTTATATTCTTTTGTCTTCACTCGTTTAATTTATTTTACTTTTTCCTTTTAGAGCCTCTAAATTGTTTTTTTTCATGTTAATCTGCTACAGATCAACAGGACCGAAACCCTTAGCCGCGCGCTCGGCGAACGCACCATTGGACCGGTCGGTGGAAACCTGGGGGGAATTCCCATTTTTTTGAATTTCCCCCCAAACCTCCAATTTATTTTGTTTAAATAATGTTTATTTTACTAAAATTTGCACAAAGAATCCCCAGAATAAGCTCAGAGGACAGATCACGGCAATGTGGGACTCCGACAACACCCGCAACCCCCCCTTATCAGTCAACTTCGAGTTGAAATGAGCATGTTTCATGTTTTTTCCTTTTTGACTTAACGATTAAATTAAATTTGTTCCTTATTTACGTGCTTTAATCACCATAAAAAGATGCAATATCCCCTGTTGGAGGGCCCCTCAAAAGAGGGAGTGTTCACAATTCATCTCGGCGCGTCTGAAAACCGACTGGATTTCAACTTCATTGGAAAAATGCATGAACACTTGGATAAAATAGGTAATTGATTTGTTTATTTTAAGTGTTTTCTTTTTCTTCACGCAATAAGCATGCACATTATGCATATATTCTTTGAAATACACTCCATTTAACCCTCTGTTTCTGATTCAGAAGCCAGAGAAGGACCTACTGCTTGCGTAATCGGCGGAGAAGGCAAATTTTTCTGCAATGGACTCAACATAAACATTTTGATGGAAAAGCCGAGAGAACTTCTGAATTCATTTCATCGCCGTAAACAGCTGAACTTCCCTCCTTGCTGTCCTCTGTTCTCTTCTTATTTGCATTTGTTTCAGAAACGCAAGGAGGTTTCCATGAGATAAAGAACGCACACAACATATTCCCTTCATAATTGCACTTTTAAAATCGTTTATTGTTTACACAGAATATTCTGTTTTCGCTCTTCGTTTGTACAGTTCTCAGTCGGCTTCTTACATTTCCAGTGCCACTGGTTGCGGCTATCAACGGTCACGCAGTGAGTTTACTCGACTTGTATGAAGTATATACGATATAAACATTAAAATTGTGTGTTTATGTAAACACATTAAATGCATGTTGCCTCTGCATGCCCTTTACTCGTTGAGAATTCTTCAGTTTGCAGGCGGCGCTATGATTGCCTTGGCCTGCGACTTCCGCATAATGAGCGAATGCCGCGGGTATTTGTGCATCAATGAAGTGGATATTGGCTTGCCCTTGACCCCAGGTAAATAGAAACTAAAGAACGTTCTTTTGCATGCATATCAGCCAGCAGCAGTAGCAGCAGCAGTAGCAGCAGCAGTAGCAACAGCAGTAGCAACAGCAGTCGCAGCAGCAGTAGCAGCAGCAGTAGCAACAGCAGTAGCAGCAGCAGTAGCAGCAGCAATTGTACGGTGCCCTGTGTGCGTTTGTCTGTCTGTCTGTGGGTGTGTATGCTGTTCTTCTTTGTCTAATAAAGACCCTCATCTATAAGCAAACAACTCACAACTTGGCTCTCTTCTTCCTTTGTTCAGGAATGTGCGCTCTAATAAAGAGTAAATTAGACCGCAGCCTCTGGACTCCGACAATATTAGGTGCGAGGCGGTGGGGTGGAGCGGAAAGCTACAAAAATAGAATAGTAGATGCGGTCTGTGAACAAGGTAAAAAGAGACAAAAATGATGCCTCTGAGCTGTACAGACACCTCAGAAGCTGCCTAGACACCTCAGAAGCTGTTTGTACACCTAAGGGGCTGTATACACAGCTCAGGAGCTGCGGATGCAACGCTAAAATGCAAACAAAGACCCTTAATTCAACAATTTACTTTGTATGCTGTCCTGCACCGTAGGGGAAGTTCTGAAGAGGGCCCAAGCGCTCGCCGCCAGCTGCTCCTTTAGAGGAGCCACCAAGTTGCTTTACAGGTGAGTTGAGTGTTGATAATAAATAATAATATTAAATAATAGATTACGGGTTTGTATTAAAGAGAGGTTAAGGGTTTAAATGACACAGAGAGTAAGGGTTTAGACAACAAAGAATATTAGGGTTTACGATACAAAAAGGCTAACGGTTCTGATAAGAGGGAAGCAAAGGGTTTATAATACAAAAATATTAAGGGTTTAAATAACAGAAAAGGTAAGGGTCTACAATATGGAGAGATCCAGGGTTTAGACAGCAGGGAAGTTAAGGGTTTAGGGTTTAGTAAATGCGATGAGGGTTTACAGCGAAGAAAGGCTAAGGGTTTATATAACAAATGGATTGAGGATTTATATAGAAATAAATAGATGAGGGTTTAGGCAGCTTGCAGATGAATTTTATTTCTTCTTCCTTGTTTCTCTTGTGTATCTTGCTTGGGTGGGTTTAGTAAGAAAGACTGCCTTCTTCAGGTGTACATGCACTTCATTTGCTGCAGCAAAGAAGAGACAAAATTATTAATTGTATTTGTTTTATCTTTTTTTAGTGCAAATTATAAAAAAACAGCAAAAGACTGCGTTGGATGCCTCTTCCCTTACTTTTCTCCTATGCTTTTTAACGGCATCAACTTGTAGAGCTTGTTTGTTATTTGTTTATTTGTTTTGCTTGCGTTTCTATTTAGAAGTCTTAAAGAAGAAATGTTTGCAGCAGAGGTTGAGCTATTAACTGCTGGAGTCGGGCAGGCAATGCAAACAGCAGTGCAGTTCGAGGTCCCCTCAAAGATGTGAATAAATAAGATAAAATAAACAATTAAAAAAGATAATAAAATAAACAATTCAAAAAAGAAAACAGTTCAAGGAACGCATGCAATATATACGGTGTACAGACACCTCAAACGCCTCCTCCATTCATTTTTGCATGCGCAGCTCAAATCAAATAAAGCAGCAGCAACAGCAGCAGGAACAACAACAGCAGCAGCAGCAGCATCAGCAGCAACAGCAGCAGGAACAACAACAGCAGCAGCAGCAGCATCAGCAGCAACAGCAGCAACAGCAACAGCAGCAGCAGCATATAAATCGATATGCGAAAGAGGAATTTAAACACAAGACAAATTGAAGCAGCTGTTTATATTTTTAGTCAGCGCTTTTCTTGGTTAGAGTTGAAGGAGGTGCCGTTATCATTATTATATTATATATCTTATTTATATATATCTTATTTATATATATATCTTATTTCTTATATATCTTATATATATATACATGTCTTCCTCTCTTGTGAGAGAAAGACAAAGGAGAGTTTATAATTGAATATTCTTTATGCTGCTGCTGTTAGTGTTGTTGAAGTGCTGCTATTATTATCTGGTGCTGTTATTTATTTATTTATTTATTTATTTATTTATTTATTTATCTGTTTGTTTGTTTGTTTGTTTGTTTGTTCGCTTGTTTACAGATTTGCTTGCTTGTTTATTTATTTATTTGGTGTGTATTTGTTTGCCTGCTATTTATTTATTTATTTATTTATTTATTTATTTATTTATGCTTTTATGCAAGACATACATTCATTCCCTTTGGAGTTATCTCCTCTCAGCAAGACGAAGACGAAATCTAAGAAGTAATTTTGTTGTTGTTTTTGTTGTTTTGTTTGTTTTGTTTGTTTTGTTTGTTTTGTTTGTTTTGTTCTTGCAAAGAAGACGGAGCTGCTTCGTCAATTGCTGTTTGTTTTTTCTTTCTTTTTATCTTTGTTTCTTTCTTGCTTCTTTTCTCTCTCTTTACAGACCTTATCTTTTTATATTTACTGCATTTTAGGGTTTTGTTTATGTTGGATTTATTTTATTTAATTAAAATTTTTCGTTTAGTCTGCTAAACGTTAGTCGTAACTGTTGAGGCAATAGGGACATACAAATAAACAAATAAACAAACAAACAAATAAATAAATAAATAAATAAAAGTTGTGGGGGCTGCCTCTCTTCACGTTTAGATCTGCTATACAGAAATCAAGCGTTACAAATTTTCTAGACAAGTATGTTGTTATTATTATTATCATTAGTAGTAGTAGTAGTAGTACTATTACTTATTAATTATTATTTTTATTTTTGTTACCGTTTATTATTATTATTACTATTAATTATTATAATAATTATTAGTTATTATTAATTGCTTTATTTAGACAGGTGTATGATTTGTACATATTTGTGAAGTACAGAAATAATAAATTCTTACTTTAGGCTTTCGTTTCTTCTTAACTGCATTTATTTATTTGTTTTTTCTCTCTTTGTTTTCTTGCCCTCCCCTTTGTCTCTCCTTCATAGGTTTTTAACTGTTTTTGTGTATATATATACATATATATATATTGTTAGAGCAAAGAAAGCAAGAAAATTTTGTTGCTTCTTTTCAAATAACCCCCTTAAGCATTCGTTATTCCTATTTGATTTTATATAAACAAAAATATATATATCTATTTGATTTCATGTAAACAGTTTTCTGTTGTGTACACATAAAAGGCTACCCATACACCTCAGCCTCCTGCTAAGGAGTCTCTGTCTTGTTTTAATTTGCATTTATTGGGTGAATTAAAGAAAAAGAAAAACTTGCATATGCATGCATGATGCTTCTTACTATAACCCTAAGTACTTTATCCTATTATGATGCAGATAATATAAATACTAGATATTCAAACAAAAGCATATAAATTGATTTAATCTTTGAAATTTCAATATTTCTCAATAATATGTACAAAAATTTTAAATATTTAATAAAAAATTTTTCTGATGGTGCAGCAGCCCCCTGTAGGAAGTCAATAGGCGTGGAAGAAGAAAAAAAATAAATTATTAACAATAATTATAATAATTATTAAATATTTATAAAATTAATATTTAATTTAGTTGTATATTTACAACAATTTTACCTTTTTAATTTTCTTTATTTTCTGTTTTCCGCCTTTGGAGCTGCATGCAAATGGGCTGGAGTGTATACGCAGCTCTTTGATGGTATCCTCTTATTTGTTGATATATATAATATATTTAATATTTGTTGATATATATAATATATTTAATTTATTATTTAATTTATTTTATATATTTATTCATCAAACTCAGCCATAAAAACGGATTCTTCATCTCAAGCTCCCTTCTCCTCTCTGTCGCTGCAAGCTAAACGCTAATCTTTTTCTTTTCTTTAATTCTTTTTCTTTTATTCTTTTTCTTTTATTCTTTTTATTTTTATTTATATTTTCATTTGTTTTCTTCTTCTGGTGTCAGTCAACGCCAGCTGCTTCTCACTGCACTTCTTTGCTTTCGCCGCCTGTCTTTCTTTTTCTTTTTCTGCTTTCGCATCTTCTCTAACTTAGCTTCTCCTCCCCCCTCTCATTCTGCTTCTGCAGCAGCACCAACAACACTACGAACAGCAACAACAACAACAACAACAACAACACCAGCAGCACCAGGAGCATCAGCAGGAGCAACAGCAGCATCAACAAGAGGAGCAGCAGCAGCGACAAGAGAAGCAGCAGCAGCGACAAGAGAAGCAGCAGCAGCGACAAGAGGAGCAGCAGCAGCGACAAGAGGAGCAGCAGCAGCGACAAGAGGAGCATCAGAAGAACAGCACTAGAGGCAAATAGATTGAAGGCGATGGTGTTTGATAGACACCGTCGTATGCAATCATCTCCTCCTGTCTATCGTTTCTTTCCTAATCGAACGCCCGGTCAAACGCGTGCGCTGTCTTGGGCTGCTCTCGGTGTCTGCAGTTTTTTAACAATTTTCTTTCTTAAAGCATTCGAACATAATGACGAAAAACTCAAATCCTATTATCAACAACTTCAAAATAAAAACCCTAATACACACACGCAGGCACAGGTATCCATAGTTATCATTACTAACCCTAAACCCTAAACCCTAAACCCTAAACATATATATATATGTATATATATGTGTATATATACATATTAATATCTTTATATATATGTTATATATATATGTATAAGAATATATAATGTAGAATATTATATATATGTATGTATAAAGATATAAATATTAATGCCTTTATATATACATTCTTATCTATATTCTTGTAATATTAATATACTAATATTTATATATATAGATTTGTATATATATATATATAGATATGTATATTCTTACGTATAAATATATGAATGTATGAATATAAATATTTGTATGTAGGAGCTCCTCTCTCTTCTTTATATATATATATATATATATATATATATATATATATTATGCATACAAAAGATAATA